AAATACAAAATAATCATGCCCATCTTATACAGTATATAACGAAATGGTTTTTCTTTTCCAAGTTTGTTTGGCTCTTCTACCCGACCGATTTTCATGATTGAGGTCTCAAATTGAAAGCATGCACGCCCAGATTTGCTATCAAGTATCGGCATGTATTGATCTAAAATCCCACTCGGCCTATACGTAAACGAAACTTGCTCCCCATGTATTTCTTATGGGGAGTTAATTTTAGTTTTTCATTTCCGAGTTCGTTTGGCTCCTCTACCCAACCGATTTTCATGATTGAGGTCTCAAATTGAGGTAATGCACGCAAAGATTTCACATCAAGCTTCGGCATATACTTACCTACTGTATTACTCGAACATAATTTGTATAATTTTTGAATTCTTACATCATTTAAGATGTATTTCACCAGTTATAATTATATAATCCTATATATTTTGGTCTAAGAACTTTCAGTGAAATATCGCCTTTTATTTAAGCGCTTAAGATACTGTATTAATCAATCAAAAATCATAAATTTGATTATTTCTCGGATATTATATTTATTTTAACGCTGCAAAGCAGCATGGGTCAATATTCTGATCATGTTTTTATAATAAAACTATAAATCGTTGTAATTTTAATACGTTTTTTTTAGTATTTTAAGAAGTAAATCAAATATTAGAAATATATCGATTTGAGTTTTTGAAATATATTGGCAAATATTAAGCATAGCGAAATCTATTACAAGTCGTTCCGTTCCGGAAGCGGCCTCCTCGCTCGACGAGAAACGATTGGGCCCTGGGTCAATTTTACATTACCGACTTGGATAAAAATTAAAAAAAATCTTTTGAATACAAAAATTATCTTGTTCAGAAATTAATAATATTTTAAGTGAACTTTAAGTTTGAGAATATTTGTTAATGTATTCTTTTTATTCTAGATCATAAGTGAGTTTGGGTTTTATCCCATGATTGGGCATATTAATGAATAAAAGACTATAAACAAATAAATAAATAATTTAACAAATAAATCAATAAACGAATAAGTTAACGCTTTATTACATGAATAAGTAAATGTGAAATACATCACCGGTATAGGAATTGCCTACAGTATTTAAGTATTATTTTATAAAAAACAAAATGTATACTTTGTTTTTTTACGTGGAATGATGGTTGGTTGGTTGGTGGTTGGTTCTTACATGGAATGATTAAGAAACTTATGGATACAGGTTCAGGCTATTAACACAAGCAAAATATTAGTTTTGAAGCAATTTTTGGGAATACGCATTGTGACAAAATAATAACCGTTACTGACCTCTAAGTTGATTTATTTGATCTTTTAAATTTATATTCCAATCTCAAACACTAATATCTCAGAGTAATAATACTAATAAATGAATTGCCAGACACTTATATGATCGAGAAATGATTTAATTCCTATTTAATTTTAAATGCTATGTAAGTATAACGAAACAAGTTGTTTGAGTTTTTGGATTATTAGGGAACTTAGAACAAAATAATGCTGGTTAAGGTTTAATTGGAACTTAAAGTATAAATATTCTATTTACAAATTGCAGAACATACAAGGATCACAAAAAAACTGAATAGAATTATTATTTTCATGCAATTATAGCCTACTATAGCTATTGTTAGATAGAATGCAGTGTCGTCGGAATTTATTTCCTAAATGATAAACTCATACACGTAATTTTATTACTGTTTAAAGCTTCATAACAACAGATACTACAATAAATCAATGTGGCCACTAACCTTTCGTATCATCATTCCTCTTAAACAATCTCTACCCTCTCAAACCATTGTAAATAAAACGAAACGCCATTAATGAGCCCTTTCAAGAGTCCGAAAAAGAAAATGACCACTTATAATTTTCCCCAGAAATAAAGCTATTGGTATATTGTTGAACACGGACCAACCAAAGGTTGATGCAGCTTAAGTGCGACAATTTGACGCCATCCCAAAGTATTATCTTGGATGGTTGAAGGTGGAAACAATTTCCTGCAACGTTCGACATCATCGCGTCCCCTTACTTCTCTTCTATTTCAATCGCTTACTGTCCAATAAGGATATTTTGAAGTAAATAAATAAAAAGCTGGGTGATCATTGATGGATTTAAAAAACATATTTGGTTATCGATTGGTTTATTTTTGGAAAAATTCTTAAATGTAAAAGTTTAATGATAGTAGCTTATTTACATTGGTAGAAATTCTTTGTTTGTAATTGGTAGATTTTATAGCAATAGGTCTGTCTACCTGTTGGAGTCTCCTTTGATCTTAATAGACTAATTTTCAAAGTTTTCTGGTTTGTGTTTAGTTAATTTGTAGCTGTAGTCACTGTTCCCATTTTTATTCTTTTTTAGTAATATTGAGTTGGCAAGTTTGACTCCAGATCCTGATGGGGCAACAAACTTGGATGATAGCGCAAAATTTGGCTTTATTTGTTACAGGACCGAGGTTTATATAAATCTTAGATTGGGAAGAATGCTCCGCGATATACATTAAAAAAAAACTACTATGGTTGTGCTCAGTACAGTTCGTGGTACAGTTGCAGCTACTTTCATAGTGGTTCAGCCTAAATAACCTGTTAGTTTCGATGGATAAAGAATAATCACTCTTACAAGATTAGATTACCGTAACGATCGAGAGCAAGGCTATCTCTACTGACTCATGTTAAACATATACAAACGGTGAAATAGAGAATGATTATTATTCTTTAATTATTAATTCACTTGTTTGTGGTTTTGCTAATCATACGTACAAAATAAAAAAAAACACAAAATTAGCTTAAATATGTGAAATTAACACTTACCTCATATGCCGATCGTAACTTTTCTAAACAAGAAAGTAAGTAGTATGGTTTACAGTACAATAATACATATTGGTCTAAATTTCTTCTGTTCGTTGTTTGAATCCTCTAATATAAGGCTACGAACAAACATTAGATAATAACACTTTGACCAGCTTAACACCTATAATTCTAAAAATTCTCTCTAGATCAACCAACAAAGTATTTGTTATAAACGTTGTATAGTGTGGATTTAGAAAAAAAAAAACAGTTCAGTTTAAACGCGGCATGTAACTTAGATATTTATTTTCATACACAAACCATCTTGAATAAGAGAGAAAAAACTGTTATACACTAAACCTTTTGTTTTTTCATAAATACTCTTGACATTTACTTCAAACACTAGTATCAAACTTTTAAGAATTAAGTGCGTCTAGCTACAACTGGTATTGTATCTAAACCGACAAAACTTTATATTTAATTTTCCTTGTTCCTATGGAGTTGTTCAGGGATAAACGCGTTTAAATATAAGCTACTGAAATCACTCAAGTCCCTAAACCGATCTTCTAACCACCAGTCTCGTAAGACAATTAAAATGTACGTTTAAAATTTAACCGAGATACATTTAGGTGTGAAATAGAAAATATTCATTTGGAATAAACTCGAAAAACGTAGAAAAAATAAAATATTGAAAACCGATAAATAAATGTACTGTTATCAGGATTGCTCAGGCCACCCTGTTTGTAAGGGCGGATTGTTATCATTGTTATCAGTTAGCTGCATGTTCAGGCACGCTCGCCAGTTGCGGTCAACCTATTTAATAACAACAAACACCACCGATCCGTCCGTAACTACCCGAAACGACACGAAATCGAGCCAGATATTGCTGCTGAATCTGGTGTTCAATAGCCACACCACACCGGAAAATCGTATTCTCATTATGCATGGCGATTGCTGATTTTTCTGTACTAAACATTCAAATTTTTATTTAATGTAGCTTATCATACGGCTATCATAATTAAATTATTCATTTGAATTGAAATATTATTTACACAAACCACAATGATTTCGTTTCAGAAGTATAGGGATTTCAGTTACAAATCTCTTCCAATATTTTATTTATATTAACCACCCTCACTTTGCTCTTTAAGTGAGATATATAACCATTAACAATATTAGTGTTGATAGAATAACTACCATATAAAGTTGGGTTTCTACGTTCTGGTTCCTATTAGAATAGCTACCACATTTGTATCAATAAAGTTACCTTTGAAATTGATTTGTTTTACTTTTTGTAGGAAATATTGTAATACACACCTTTACGTGGTATTAATACCACAGTTTGTTTTGAGCAAAAATAGGCTGACAAATATCACTTGTAGTGACTGTAATTCCTATTATATTTAACTACCTTACTTTCTCCCGAAATGAGTGGATTACTGACAAACGAAGCCTTAGATTTTTCAAAAATGGAAACTCTATTTCAGAAGAAAACTATTAAAACTAGAGCTATGTGCTTGTGGAGATATAATCCTCTAATAAAAAACTTAATTGAGTCCCAACTGAAAAATAAGGTTTGGAAATCCATTTTTGTTTACTTAGCCAATTCAGAGTAATTGAGATTATCTGGATTCTTTAAAGGCGGGTATGTGTAATGTGTACAATTTATTGGTCATTTGACCAACTTTTAAACTATTGTAAGCAGAATTATCAAATTAATGTCCTTTTGGTAGTTTTATTAAAGGACCCAAAGTAAAGTTGACACTAAAATAGTAGGGCAATAATTTAGTCGTTCGGTGCACACTAGCTGCGCTGCACTGCTAAAAGCTTCACATTTTAATATAGGAATACAAATTCTATACTTGCAGTATTCAAAGTTATGGGTTTCAACTCCCTTTTTTCTACTTTCATTAATAATTTACTCTGATATTCTAGGCTTCTACGCTTCTGGAAACGTTACTTTAGGCTAGGCTTAGAGGGATAAAATCCATTGGTGAACTGCGGGATCTTAACCCGGGACCTCAGGTACCGAAATCCCGAACTTTACCATGGACCAACTCTTATTTATATTAAAAGGACAATAAAATGAAAACACTTAAGTTCTACATACAGTCTTGCAATTCTACAACACCTCTCGTCACAGTCTACAGTATACACGCTACCGTTGAGTCAGTAGCAGGCAAGTTTCCGCTCAGTAGTACAGACTCGAGAAGTCACAGATAACACACCTGACCCTGTATCGGAGCTGATAACCTATCAGTGGGTAGCCAGTGATGTCGCGGGCAAGATGGCGACTGTAAGTGCGCTCAGACCTGTAGCATGCGTCGCTGCGCTCAACTCGGCCGTGAGTATTTACTAAATCAATTATTGTCACTAGTGTATCCAAAAGTAGTTAAGTAGGTCAGTATTGGTTACGGAAACGTAGTTGGCTAGGAAACGGACATGATCACAATCTTTTTACCTTTTGATAAAGTTGAACGGTTATTTCTTTTGAACTTAAATTATTTTGTAATGCAGAATATAGAATATTTTGAATATTGTTGCTCTATGAATATAGAACATTTTAGGGAAGAATTACCAAATATATTAATTCCTAGAGTCTAGATATAATTTGCTTAATGATACATGACAATCTGTATGAAAATGTCAAAGAAATTTACAAGAACTGGATCAAATATTTACTCAAACGTCTTTTGATGTTCAATGATATAATACGAGTTTATCCAATTGTGTGAGATTGTCATTTTAATTTCGGTCACATATAGGTTGATCATGTCTAAGCATTTAGTTTACATTTGTTGACAAAATTGTTATATTCGGCTTTCGCAGTTTCACTTCTGTATGTAATTTTGTGTATAAACTTCAACTAGTAAACTAAGTCTGCTATTATTGCTGTTTTAATAAATATTGTTGTATTACAAGATAAAATTTTATGACACTGTGACCCAAAACATCAGCCAAGATAACTTCAGATTTAAGATTCAGATATGTTTTTAATAGGATCAGATTCCATTCAAAAAAAGTACTGAACTATTTTTGATAAAATTTAGAACTACTTCATGCATTGTTTTATCACCAGTGGGTTTCTATTGATTTAATAAAATACATTTTCAAGATTTTAAGATCTAATGAAACTAAGCTGAAGCTCAAACAAAATAGCATCCATAAATTATACTGTTATAGAGTTGTAGGTACAATAACAGAGTATTAAAAAGTCATTCCTTTATCACTGTGTTATTACAAATATCTACAACTACTTATAAAGTGTTATATGAGTAACAAGCATTTTTCATTGCAATTATTAAACCTTTGATAAACGTAACCGTGATAAAAGATTTGCTACAACTGAAATTTGAGAAAACGAATACAAGACTATCTAGTAGTATTAACATCATTCATAGTTTAAAAAGCTAAATAAATGCTATCCAAAATTTTATTTCTTACAATAAAGACATATAAAGTGCATAACTGATAAAACGATTAATCCTATATCATTCAGTACATTATTCGTAGTACAACGTTTCTCCTGGTGTTAGGGCCTATATACTCACCTAATATGATTTATTTACTATAATTATTATAGCTCGAAAAAATTGTTGGCAAGCTAGTATGTAAGTAACAAATACGCCTTTCCATTTATTACTTATGGATACAATATTCATCAAAACTACATCATACTAATTTTGATGGATTTTTAAACATAGCTTGTAGGCTGTAGCTACGACCCAACAATACCTCTTCCACTGATTACAGTACGATAACAACCACTCCTAAACAGGCATACTTGTGATAACACCAACAACAGTGGGATTACGGTGACGAACGGTTTATTGAGCAATAAACTCTCACAATTCTGAATCACCCGGGGAATTACACACTAGGTTAACTTATGACAAATAACAGAAAACTAATACCTGCCATGGAGTGTTATTCATACTCTCGGGAAGGATCAATTAATTGAGGTTGAAATCAGTTCACCAACAAGTGACTTTAAAAATGTCACTGGATAAAAGTCTTACAGCAGTTAAAATAGACAAAATTGGAAAAATAAAATATACCCTTGCTGTATAGTCACAGCTACGGTACTAACTCCACCCGAAGTAATTAAATGTTCGTTTAAAAGGCTTGCCTTTTAAATTCAAGGAAAAACTCACTTAAGAAATTAAATCTTGAAAAAAGGACTACTTACATTAGGGAGGGAGTCATCCAATTGGAGCCCAGAAGAGTATAATCAATGATGTTTGAATATCGAAGTAGAAATCTTATTTATAAACGGGCCAGCTGTTATAGATAAGTTTTTTATTAAATAAAATAGAACAAAGTTGATTTGCAAAAGTTGGATTCAATTCTTTTTTTGTATGATATTTGATGTGATATAAAAAATGCTATAGTTTGAAATAAGCTATTCTTATAATAATTACTGTGGTTAAAAAGTTGCGTATTTGACATAAGTTAGGGACTAATATCAGCTCAATTTAACTATGTCAATGTTTGATTTAAAACTGGATACAGTTCTAACGATAGGAATGGAATGTTAAGTTCTGACAAAGGTCGAAGTTGTGATCAAATGAAATGAAATGTCTTTATTGCTTTTAACATCATATAACATGCATTGCAATCGTCAAAATACTTATATTATAAAATAAGTAGCATATCATACAGTGCAAACCATGCAAAAAAACTCAAACTTAAGTTAGAAAGAACAAAACCATGCTTTCTACTCTACAATAAAACAATCCTGTTGAGGCAAACAAACCAATCTACTTACACAATAGGCATACCTTCAACTTAAAAAATCATTTCAAGACTGTCTGGGCATTTATTAATAAGCCATTTTTTAAATTCCATTTTGAAGTTTTTACCTTCTAGTTTCTTTATGGAGTTTGGTAACTTATTGAAAAAAAAATGTTCCCTTGACATTAGGGCTATTCTCTGTCCTTTTGAAATGTCTTTTCACTCTGAAAAATTCATTGCACTGTCTAGTGTTATGGTCATGCATTTGTCTTACATTAGCAATTAAAATACCAGAACTACAGCTAAATTTAACCAAACATATAACCTGGTATACATACATTGCGTACAAAGTCATAATGTTGTGTGACAAAAAAATGCCTTTGCTATGAGTCCTTGGGCTAACTTTTGCTACCAAACGTACAGCTCTTTTTTGTAACAGAAAAATTCTTTTGGTATAAGTGTGAAAAGAACCTCCCCACAGGACAAGCCCATAAGCTGGATATGGATACACCACTCCAAAATAGACTGACCTTAATGTTTCACAGTCCAAATAGTTTGAAAGTCTTCTTAGCAAAGAAATACCACTCAAGACTTTAGCACCAACAGTCTGAGGCAATCATGTTTAAAACGTACTTTCAAACAAATCCATGTTATGTAGTGGAGATTAAAATAGTTTTTTTAAACTGTTTTTTTTTTCAAATAGTATCATGTTTTAAGGCACTGTCAGCTATAGCGATGTTTTAATTGTGTAGAAACTACAATCTTTTTTTAAAATTGATTTGTGTCTATTGGTTCAAAATATATGTTTTATTGTTGGTTTGTTGTTGCAGGCCCAGGGGCTGGTAGGGGTGGTTCTAGGAGTCCTAGGACTATGTGTGTGTTTCTGCGCGCTCGGTTCTACCCCTCAGTCTTCGGGGAATGACTTTGGCCAGTACCTCACCTTCTACCTTCAAGGTCAAATCCAATCTTATTCTCATAGTCATAGGTTATAAGTTATTGTATTTGTAATACAAACAACATAAATTGTAACTATGTAGAAACCTTTTTTCTTACGGCCATTGGTTAACTGACTCTAAGGAAGTTATAAAATAATTATTAATAAAAGAAATCTTATTACCACAGTTTTAAATTAAAGGTTCTTTAGGGTTTAAAGGAGGCAGGTAAGGGTACATAATTGATTTTTAAAAAGCTAATTAATCAATATATTTTAATTGTACACCATTCAAGTAAACAACTTAATGTAGTTAAAACGTTAATCAAACAATTCTTGTACCTATAGTTAAAACATAAGTGAACAACCGTTCTACAGAAACAATAACATTTTTATTTCTTTTACGCGGATATTTTGTTCTTTTGTTCAGTTAAGACCTCATGTAATTTCAACCTCAAGGTTTCAACAGTCTAAACTTCTTGAAGGAAGGTAACTTAGAATTTATACATACCAGATAACAGCTCTGGTGGTCAATGATAATAAATAAAGTTAGAACATCAAAATAACACCGTGTGATGGATTCGGTGGTGTTTTAAGGACTGCAAAACTATGTGTGGTTATTGTATAAGACCTCAGACATGCCAAAATATTTTTGAACACTTATATTTTGATACACAAAGAAAATTACCACCAAAGAGCATTATATAGGTGTATGCAGGTATTAGCTTAGTATTATAACAATGATCATCAAGTGTATCGTCTTAGCCATAACTAGCATACCGCAGAGCTTAACAAGCTTATGGTTAACCTAATAGCTTTAAATTAAACCGCAGACTCAGCCTGGCTGAAGGGAACCCATCAACTGACCGCTGCTGTAACTGATACTTATTGCATGCAAGTAACCACTAATTATCTTTCAGGTATTTGTGGTCAGGTTGTTTGGTGTTCAAAACATGGGTAGACTATTTTAAATAGTACTTATCAATTATGTACCCTTACCTGCTTCATTTAAACCCTAAAGGACTTTTAACTTTAAATATACATCATATTATACAATTAAATAAAACAGGTATCAGAACCATAGAACTTTAGTAAAACTGCAGTAATAAGATGACTTTTGTTAAGATTTCATTTATAACTTCCTTATAATGTGTAAAACTCAATACTGTTCAGTACGTGGCACAACCTTCGACTCCGGTTTAAAAACTACTTAAAACAGCTAAAAATTAAAAACACATTTATTTGAAGAATTATTTTGTTGTTGTTGTTGTTATTATTATTACTGAGAGGAAGATCTCGATTACAGCCAAAGGTTTCCGTAACTAAGAGCCTCGACCCATTTGGTTTTTGGGTAGTCCTACAGCTCCTAATAGTTAGGCCTCGTATCACCAACTTACTGTATATCACAGCTAATAGTCATTGGTACCATCATTGAGCCCTTTAGTCAATGGTGATGTGCGATAGTAATATTTGGTCCCTTGAACACGCTTTAACCACCCTACGAGTGATATCCTCGTTTGATTGCAAGAGCATTTAACTAATTAATAGAAAAAATATTTTAAATTTATTTAATTGAATTTGGTTATTTTTGTAACGGCTATGATATTTAAAATGTGCGACACTCTATTTAACATGGCGAGCGATTGTTCAAAGAGGGATATAGGACTATAACGTAATGATTTTGTGATCATACTTTAAAAAATTTAAAGACTGTAATTTGTATTTAAATCTGATAAATAAATAAAAATTTAATTAGAAAAGGTATGGGGAATTTTAAGGAAAGGAAAGGTGTGAAAATATATTTGCACAGTGGATTTATTCGGACTTAGTGGCAAATATTATGCCAGTGAACCGTCAAACAATATCGGGTCCACAAACCACATTGCAATATTAGTTTGATGCGGAAAAACCACAACTTTTTAGCTGACGTTGAATTGAATGGTGGAGATCGGTCTGCTGGAATAGTTTTTATATTAATCACTGATGCATAGTGTGTATCAATTGATTAGGTGGTATATTTTGGATTAAGTTTTTATTGAAACATATCAAATTGATAAACTATTTGACAACACCTTAGTTTTATTGCTGGGTACTTTTAGCGATTTGCCCATATTTAAATAGGAAATTCACCTTATATGCTTAAAGAAAAGTTTAAGTAAAAACCTGATAAAGTAAATTGAAATTCGCTTAGTCTGCAGGTATGCCGTGACGGGGACACTTTTATTCTACGCGTATTACAACCAGAGGGCAAAACTGTTTTTAAAGTCATTAAGTCGGTATTTTTTTATTTTTATTCTAGCTAGAACCCCATAACAAACTGTAACATGAATAACATTAACGATTTTTTCACTGTATATTTTCTTGGAAGATTTAACAAACTGGACCTAAAAAGTAACATCTGACGCTATTATTGAAGCTGTGTTCTATTTGATGAAAGAAATTCCCATAACTTACAGTAAAATTACTAAAAACACTCAGTTTCCTAAATTAATACAAATTGAATATATTATGTTTGCTCAAATAGTACCAAAGATTGCCGATACGTTACTTGAAATACAAAAACAATTTCAAAATGTGTATTAAAATTCTACAATGACATAAAGCCTTTTATTAACCTCAAAGTTTATCTTACCTGTCTCTTATAGATAACCAGTTATCAAGTCATTTTCTATATTATAATTTTTCAACGTATTTTAAGCATAAAACAGAATAGAAAATAACTGAATTAATTACTTACTAAATTAGAATGGCAAGTTGTAAAAGTTTTAAGTCACTTTTGAATCGACAATATCGAAAATATTTGTATATTTGTATCAACACTCGACCTGTAATCGCTTTTTCCCGGAACAGCCACCAATACCAGTATTAATCTTGGCCTCTCGCCAAGGCAGGCTTACCTCTGTGTTTGTTCCGTGGTTATTTCATCCCCTTGTAATGTCCTCGATTTAGGCTTTATAACTGTAAAATACTGTATTGTAACGTATCCAAGCTGATCGTGTAATTTGAATATGCAACAAAACATGTATTGAAAAATCTGAATTTACCCTATGAAATGTTGAGCAGTTATTACATATTATGGAGTAGGGTAAATGTTAACGATTATCATTATAATTACTAGTAAAGTGTCTCTAGGGTCTAGGTAATAGTATGTAGTAAATTAAATTAGACAGCTGCAGCAAACTTGAAGTTTATGCAAATTTTCGGCTGTTTTTGTAGATTTTTACGAACAAACAATTCACAGCAATTTTAAATTTGCGTAATAGGGTCTACTGCTTTTATAATAACTGCTTCTATCACTTTGGTTTTTAATAATTAGAAACCCTATGAATGTGTAATAGCTCTTTTGCTATTTTGGTTGCTATGCCATTGAATTTACAATAGTACAGTGTACAATATAAATTTACAAAATTAATCGGTGTAAAACTCGTAGCCCTATCTCGTTTTGTAGTCATTTTGTACTATATACGAATTGGCGTTGATGTTATTTAAATGCAATGTGAATTACTCCAACTATGTAATAATAAATTCAGATGGTTCTTTTTATATGTTTTTCAAATTATATAAATGCCGACATTGTTGTGAAATATACGTTCTTGACAATAATGGCCATAACGTAACGATGTGATAGTACTTTAAATAATCGGGACCGTTTTCCTCGGGGAATTCAGTGGAATAAAAAACAACACTTTGAAATCATGTCATAAACATCCAGATGATTATTTTACGCCCGAGGGATAAAAAAAGAACAATTAAAAAAAAGAACTATTTCTACGTTTGTATTGTAAACAACTGTTTAGCTGCAATAAATTATATTTGTTTTGGTAGCTTGTATGAAAACACCCAATGTCTGTTTAGTTACTCTGACACATATTGCCTGTATTGATAGTGAGAGGTAAATGATAACGCGTGTTATCAACAATCCCCCCTCTCCTCAACAGCCATTGCAGCATATTACAAGAAACATATACGTTTTCAAGGTCGTTTATTAGATAATTTAGCGTTTGGAAATTTGAAAAACTTTTTAAATTTCCTCTATTTTTAACAGTTGAAAAATATTTGTTCTAATGCATGATTGGAATGATTCGTGTATTCTTACCGCTAAAAGTAGTGACACTATTCAGTAATAGCATTAGTATTATTTTTGATTAAGGAAAGACATAACAAATACAGTACTTTTGTATTTATATTTACATATATTTTTAAGTATTTGTACTTTAAAGTAAAAAAAAAAAAAATAAACATCCTTTTAAAAATTTAATCGAACAAAAATAGGTTCTAGTCACTGAACTTTTTCCATGTTTGTAGATTATGAATAATTGTTTATAACACTTTTTAGAAATTATGTTTTTCAGTGGGTACATCATGTTACTGTTGCAATATATATTTCAGGAGGGGAGTGCAGCAAAGTCACCACCGAACTGTACTCGGATCTCACCAGTCCTACAGCTCTCAGAGTCTGGCTCGCTCTCTCTCTCTTCTTCAGCGCCTCCATGCTGGCCAGTTCTCTGGCTCTTTTTATAGGTAATTATGAGTTTGTATTGCAAATATTAATCTATGACCTTGGAGAAATTCATTTTATGTTTACTTAAACTATTCCCCAAATAGTAGTGCACAATTATATTTGTTTAAAATATATATTTTTTTTAAACCAGCAGCCTTCTTAAAACTTAGTCCTTGTATGCGCTTTCAGCAGAACTACATATTGAATTCGTGATATTACACACGTTTCGTCTCAGAAACACACACATTCGGTCCAACTAACTGTAATTGCTTGTAGCAGGTCAGGCTGCTAAAACGCCAAGAGCCGGACCATCTAGTTTCTGATTGGCTGTGTGTTTGCTTGCCATTTGCTGGCATGTAATATTTCATCATAATTTGTTGCCACCTAATTAATATTTACAATCATAACGATAATTGACCATGAATTTCTTCTAAAGGGAAGTTGACAGTATTAGCTGTCAAAAGTAACTCACATAATTTTCTTTAGAGTACCAGGGGACCAAGCTTTTCTCGGATTGAATTAAACATTAAATGTATTATACTGGGTGGCGCATAAAGAACGCATGGATTTGAGTTGAGTGGTGAGAGCAATAAGAGCGTCCGTGGAGGGACAGGGCCTGGTTGTTTTGTAGGTTAGGGCATCCAGTTTTAGTAGCAATGGTGCAATCGACCTGGCGCATCGCGTTTTTGCTGTAGAACGTTTATTCAAAAATAATGAATCTTATATAACAGTTCAATGGTTCAAAACAAAACCCGATCGCAACACAATACTTTGTTGGGTAGCTTCTTTTCGCACAACTGAATCAGCTATGAAGCAGAAGTGGTTAGGTCGTCCTTGCACGGCACGAACTCCACAAAATGTCGACAGAGTAAGGACGTCTGTTATTCAAAGCCCTCGCCGCTACACTAGGCGATGCGCTCCAACTGTGTGCTTGTCTTGACGCTCGTTGCAGGGCAACCTGAAAGATGAGTTAAAATTTCATCCTTACAAAATTATGATCGTACAGAAGATTTATGAACGTGATTACGAACAATGAAAACTGTTTTGAGAGAATGGTTGATGTTCTTGCCACTGATGGCGTTTTGTTTATGATGTTAATGATGGAGCGCAGTTTCATTTGGATAGTTATGTTAATAAGCAGGACTGGCGATATTTGGCAGCAGAAGACTCAAAAAAATTGCATAAAAAACCACTACACGATTTGAAACTTAACGTTTGGTGTAACTTTCGAAAGTGGGAATTCTTGGGCCTTACCGTACTTTTTGAGGACTCGCGGAACGTACTTTGTGCAGAAAAGCCGTTGAACAGTTTAAACAGATTTAATTACTTTTGAATAAATGTTCTACCGCAAAAATGCGATGTACCACGGACCACTGCACCATTGCTACTAAAACTGGACACCCTAACCTACAAAACAACCAGGTCCAGTCCCTTCACTACGCTCCTATTGCTCTCACCACTCAACTCAAATCCATGCGTTCTTTATGCGCCACCCAGTATAAGTTAATTAGCTCAATTAAAAATATTGATTATGCAAGGAAAACAATATGAACAGATTTAAGATGATACAAAGAAAACATTTTAATACACCTTTATAAATACATAAGAGTAGATTGCAATAAAATAACCTGTATCAGTCGTATTTATTAACTTCAGCTACGAAAAAAACATTGACAATAGCATAGGTACTTTCAAGAGCTGTAGGGCGGAACCCAATTTTTTCCCAGCCCTGTGACTAACTCCAATCGATTTCTCGTGGCCAAATACCTCATAATATAAACAAATATAAAAAATCCTTTGGACGAAAATAAAAGTTTGTCCGTATATGTGCTTGTTTTAGGATAGGATAGGATAGGATCGACATCTTTCATGAAAAAGGTCTCTTACCGAAAAAAATAAACACCTATTGATGTCAAAGTATGTGGTCCACCAAACCAATCGTGTTAGACAACTACCTGAACAAGTCATATTCTCACATTTCAAAAATGAATCTAGCTTTGATTAACATTGCATGTGTCTTGAGAAAACTTTATTAACAGTAAAAATTGTAAAATACAGAATGTGTTGGTAAATTAGGCATATGGTTAGTCATGTTTGTTCTGTGGCTAGTTTGAGGGTTCATTGTTGTATTGTCGTGCCTGATTAAATCATACTAATTCGTACGACTTCACAACGTGTACAATAAATAATTAACCATATCAGAAACGGGTGCATGCTTACTCCCTAAAAATAATTTAAAATTATTTTCTCACCATTTTCTGAATATTTACGTTAATAAATGTAATGGACAAATCAATAATACAATCAATAACACATTATTTGATTTGGCAATTATTTTTATTTTAAAATGCGGCAACCTGAAAATTATCATTATTATGGAATATCATTAGCATCAGAGTGCCTTTAAATTATTAACCCTTGATAAAGATCGTTAGAGCTGATTTTGGGACATTTAGATTTTAATTATTTTACTGATTAAAATATTGATATGATATATTACAATTAAAATATGAATAACAAGAGAAATTGTAATCTATCAACTATGTTTTTACTTATAGTATCAACAAGTTCGAGTTTCTAAACATATCATGACATTTTGACAATTGGTGTTTAGCCCTGTACATATCCACATAAACACAGACAGTCATCACCATAAAACTACCTTGAAACAGGGGGGAACAAAACGAATATTTCTTCTAAACCCAAATCTTGATCATGCGGACGTCGAGTTTAGTGATAAAAGGTGACCTATTCACTAATGTATAGCTGGAAAATATATGTTGTGATAAACAGTAAGCGATGGACATAACCCACAAGTTTCTGTATTGTTCATTGAGTCAGGGGGGATGTGCAAATATAAACACGATTAAATCATGGTTATTTTATAATTTAATTGTTATATGTTCAGTGATGATACAAACTTCTCTAATTTATAACCATAATGTACCATAATGTCTGCATTCAAACGTTTTGTTACCAAACAAAAGTCTTACTCTTGCTAAGCTTGCTACGAAACCCTTAAATGGGAAAGACCTCTAGACACTATAACATAACCAAAGAAGATGATCGGTCTCACATAATGTAACTTTAATAACTTGTTTGTTTTCAAAACTTGAACTTCTAAAATATATCTTAATCACCAACTATTTAGTCCAAGTGGATAAAAGGCAATAATCTATTTGGCATAAAGTATATAATCCTATGTCATTTAAAACAAATTAAAATACTTGATTTTAAAACTTACTTTAACGAGGTAAGTGTGACTTCTTCGGGAAATATAAAATGAAGTAAGGTCTCCAGTATATTTGTAAAATGCTCAGGTAAAAATGTAAAATGTATTTAATATTAGGTCCGATGAATGACAAGTAGTCAATTGATTATTTGTTTTTTGATTATTGGTTTACTTCACAGCTGTAGCTAGACGATGGTCAGACGAGAAGCTCCAGATCACACTGGTGTCTTGGCTTTTCATCAACACCTTCACGGCCATCGATGACGTCATTCTAGCATACGTCTTTGGCAACGACTACACCACCGCCCGTGTAAGTAGTAAGAATTCAGATCATAGTTAAATTTTCTTACTGATCCAACGAAATCGTCTGTTTGCAGAGTCAAATATCGTGAATACAACAAATGCAGAACTAACTTTTGATTGTAAAATACTTACTTACTACTGAAAATAGTCATAATTTGACTGTTAGTATTAACGTTGACTGTAATTAACAATGGTAAACATATTAAAAGTATGTTAAAATGGCTGATTAATTCGACCAGTTTGTTTTGTATGTTGTAGTTTTTTTGAAATTTGTTAAATTTGTTTGTAATAGATCAGTCCAAAATTTGGTCTTGATGTTCCACGTCAACTTGTTGTTGGATAGACATCGTTGATTATTTGTCCACTGACGAATGCATACGGGTCTAGAATTAGCCCTGCTTGGGTTTAATGAACAGTCAAACTTCTGTTGATATTGAAAATAACAAAAAATATTCAAACTGACCATAAGTACTACCACTAAACAATTAATTGCGGCATTTAAATGAAATTAAATAAAAAAAATAAATAAAAGAATCAGGATCAATCAAAGAATTTAGAGAGTAAGTGTATATACAGTAATTAATGTTGGTAGGATAGTACAGTAAGTCGTGACGGTGATCGAGCTGGTCTAGTGGTAGAACGTGAGGCTTAGGTGTCCGAGGTCCCGGGTTCAAATCCCACCAATTACCAATGCATTTTATCTACGTGATAAAGCCGCAAACCTCTAGAAGCAGCCTGAAGTAATGTGTAAAATAGTTACAGGTAGAACTTGCGTCCTAAGATTTGAAGGTGGGACATAAAAAAAAGAAAAAGTGTATTTTTCTTTTATAAAAATGCCAATTTAATGATTTCCATGTAAAAGTTAATCGTTGCAGTAAACATAGCCAAACACAGACTGTTCTTCAAACTAAACTAACAGAAATGCATGAAATAATTCAATTATCAAGATATGAAACACAAGTTAGTTGCTTCAAACCAGCTTTGTACAACGCTCTAGTTAACAAGGGGCGCGTTTAAAGTTTAATCCAACTGGAAGAACATGTGATTAAAAGCTCGTCAAGTAGTTGCATTTTGGCTTGGAAACTAATCTGTGCTGCTATTGTCTCGTTCAGTAGTGTTAAACAGGTTTGAATTAAATCTTGTAAAGGTTCTGCTTGTCAAAGTTTTTACTAAGTTAACAGCAGAAAGCGGCTGAGCTTTGTTTGAGTCACTATTATTTTCTCAGAGTAGACATTGTTTTATTAACTTTAGATGTGGGCTCACATTTACTTAGAGAAACGACCAAATTTGATATTAGTTTTATAGTTTCGTTTTTATTGGACAATATGACGTCCAATACCTTTAATTCAAAACTTAAATTCTTAGAGTTTTGAAAATAAAACATTCTTTTTTATCGATCAGTAGTATTACTTTCATTTTATAAACTCCGCCATCACTTAGCTGTAAGTAGGTTTAAATAATCATTCTTGATTACAAATCAAGAACTACAAACGTGCACCATGTATACAAAGCGTTACTTCTAATCAATTTAATTTTAACTTGACAATTTGGTGATGAATTTTACCTCCATTCTACCTTATAGAGGGGAATTCAGGACCTTTCCCGTTAATTAATTATCACGATGTTTTTCCCAGGTTAAAAGTTATAATTATATACTACTTTTGTTTAAGATTAAGTTATTATTGGCTAGGTTAGGTTAAGCTAAGTTATGGTAAAACCAAGGAACAACTTAAAACTTCAGTTGTGAATTGTATAAAGGATTTAAAGTACGGAAAATTTCCAGAATGCGTCTATTTCACCTCCTTTGACCTAATTGCCTCTGACTACAACATGTATTTTCATGTCTACTCCAGGACAGCACCTCTCAGCGCGACTCCCTGGGACCCCTGACCCTCTTGCTCGTGACTCTGGTCGTCGCCCGAGGGGTTTATCTCTGGCTTCTCAACCTTGTGTTCATCTTCTACCTGTTCTCTACCGCCCGCGCCCTCCACAAGTACTTGAATCAGCAGGTAAGGAACGAGCTGCCCAAGTAGACATGATTTGTTATTAATTTTTAATAGTTAGACAGGTTAACTGGTTGTATAGACTTAGCTCTATATTGACTGGGAAGGGCACCTTTCGTTATAGCTATCCAGTCTAGATTTTTTTAGTCTAGGAGGATTTCCTTCAGGAAAAGGACTTTGGTAAAAGACTCCTCATCTCCATGGGATGTACAAGAACCGTAAACAGAGAAAGTGATATGATTTAGAAAAAAGAAAAACGTTGTTGCGACCAAACATACTGGGGTTTAGTAAATAATTACAAGAAATAATTTGAACCAGTTAAACATTGTTCCAGCAGATGAATATTAAACATATTATAACATAAATTTTCTCGTATAATGTGGCACATTTGGATGAAGATGTTTTCATTATTGATGGGTCTTCACTGTGAAAAATGCTACTCAATGGTTGGTATACATATGAATAAAAAGTGGGAAAAAGAACTCTGCAGAAGAATAAATTTAAAGTATGATAAAGTCATCAACAACTTTAATGATGTGATAACGGAGAAAAGCTCATCCCTGGACAATTATAACATTGCTACATGAAGTAAGTCAGTCCGAAACAATTTCACTCAAAGAAGTAAAGCGTTGTCTGTTTTCAGCTCCCGGTGATCATGCTCTGGTTCACTCAGTTGCTAAGCTGATAAGAATTTGAGAAATGGAAAATGCATTGCTGCTAAATTCAAATGTAAATTCAAGGGACTTGAAGATGTGAAGTCACAAAATGTGCAAGTAGGTGGTTGTGCTACACTGAAGGTTGGCTTGCAGTACATCTTCTACTTAGTAACAAAAGAGTTTAGTTACAATAAGCCGACCTATCACTCTCTTCAAAACTCACTCAATAGTCAAAAGGAAAAATGCATTGAACATAATATTATTAAGTTGGCGATGCCACGTATCGGTTGTGGACTGGATGGACTTAATTGGAGAACAGTTAAGGAGATGTTCACTAAAACATTCAACTATCTAGACTTGATGATTAGTATTTACGAATTTAATGTAAAAGGCTTGGCTGAATAGAAGATGGGTAAAACAAACTTCCAGCCTTCAACGTCACTCAAGCCTCATCCTCAGTATTCAACGGACGTTTCACTATATATCAACATAGATTTCAAGCTACCCACTACTTTTACATTTACATTAACATTTACGTTCAATCATTGACTATTGGCTACTGAAGTTTAATTCAATTTGCATCTTCCCTCTGGTCATAAAAAAAACATTTATTTAAGTTGTATGTAAAAAATGTTGCTATAATGTCAATGAAATTTTCCGCTGGCTGTTGAACGGTTTCTATTGGTTTTGTGTTTATAAACTATTTATACCATTAATGTTTTGTACAAAACGAATAAAGGATAATTTGATTTGCCGTTATAGATAAAGTACGGATAGGAAATATAAGTTTAACGCCATAAGGCAACAAAATGTCATTAAAAGTCCTTTTTAGGTTTGTATGGTTGAATGCAATTACTAGAAGTTTACATAAGTTTAAGGAAAAAATTGCGATTAATTTGTTAAGATACTTGTATGGCAGCCTTATACGCCACAAACCTCTAGTCAAGTTTGTCAGATTTGGGTTAAACTGATAAAACAACCTATATTGAATGTGATTCATTTAGTCAGTAATCATAAAATAATCTGTACAAGATAACCAGTGAATTGCCAAGTTTCTTATCTGTAAACTATAATTTCAAAGAAAACATGAATTGGCTAACATTGAGTCCATTTAAGTGGCTTATTGCATGTTATTTTTAGTGATGGATGGTTACACCATCCCAATGTATTTCAACAATCGTAACTGTACACAAAAGTTAAAAAAATGGCATGTAGTGGAAATGTTATTTTTCTACCATTCTCTAACGTTGGATTTACTACATAAGAAAAGTCAATACATAACTCATCTCATTTCGCCTAAACCTAAAATTGAACTCCACTTGTATTTGTAACGAATTAATAGAATAAGCTCAGCTATTTCGACGTAAATAAATAATTATAAGTATCGATGTGACAAATTAGTCTAACATGTATAACCTAATTCGCACTATTCTTTATTCATTCAACCTATAACGTAATTTAATTATTAGAAGAGGTTGCTATTGCCTTATTTTAAAATGTCCCTAACAACATTGGTATTTGCGTAAACGGTAATCTTTAACAAAATTAATGGAATTCTGTCTGAACATTTCTTATGAGCTTAATTTTGATGGTAGATTAGATGTAATTTATTAATCATTTTTCAAAAGCTTTCAATGAAGTTTATCACGATATCTTTATAAACAAGTTATTAAAATTAGGATTTGTAATGTTTTTTTTTTCAACGGTCCCACGTCTAATCGCCCACAGTTTGTATTAAATCTTATTTTCCTCTGTTTATTTTAGTTTGTATTGTCTAAGTAATATAGGGATCTAATTTAGGACCAGTGCTTTTCTTAATGTTTAATAATGATCTCCTTAGCTGTGATTGAGATCATTGACTGCATATGTTTATTATTTCCTATGGTTTGATAATATTTAGGGGAATAAAATGCTAATGAAGACATTTAATTATTATAATACCATAAACAATAGTTTTTGTCTATGGTAATACTCAATCAACTAGCTCAATTCCTGGTGATCCGCCAATAAATTCTCTCTTAATGTTAATAACTGTTTTGCCATGTGGTACTCTAGAAGAAGAGTTTTTTGGGTGTCAGTTCTATTGGGAACTCACCATTGAAATCAGCCAAAACCTATTGAGGATCTAGGGGTTTTTGTTTTTTCTTTTAATTTCTTTGGACATATTCATCGTTTGCTAATAGATTCCTATAAGCTTTTAGGGTTTATTAAATAAAAATTTATTACAATTTAACACAATAGAACCAATTTTGCATTTTTTCAGACTCTTATACGACGTATATAAGAATATTGTGCTATAGTCTGATATTCAATCCATAAATCCGAAAGTTTCTTCGTTTTTTTTTACTTTGAGATTTTTTCATCCACGTCCCATTGATTTTACTACTAATAATTTAAGAAGCCTTTTTTCTATTCCTTAATTGTCACTGAGAAGGAAGTTATCCAATATTTGATTTGTTTATAAACGTATTAATGGTACTGTTAATACTGGAGTTTCACTGGAAAATAAACACTTCCATGTGCCCAGTCTTATCGTTATAACTTACAATAAATTTTTACTGCCTGGATGTAGAACTACTCATTAACATGTTTCATTGGTCGTGGGTTTAATTCCGACAATGTAGATTTATTTAGTGATATGTTGAATTTATTCTTGTAGAAATGTAGCAATATTTTCGTTTAGTTTTTATCTTTTGTTCTATGGTTTGGGAGTACAAATTAAATGGTAAAATTATACGGTTTAAGTGGTTTGGGTTTTATATTTCAATTTGGACTGTTACATATTAATACTCATGGTTAGCTTTTAGTATAGTTAGTTACTTATGTTTTGAGTAATAATAATTTAGTTAAGATAGCTGTATCGGAACATTTTTCTGTAGCTGTAAAATGTCATTATCATCAAATAAATAAATAAACAACTTTTATATAATTATTTGTTCATCCTTAATCCAGTGTTTTACACCAAAATTATTGACGTAAGCATTTTATTCATACTATATTTTCAAACTCGTTAAGCTGGTAACGTTTTTTTGTAAAGTGATGTGATTTAGTAGTAACATAATAATGTTCCTATCATCGCGAGAGTTACTGTATTAAAAACTAGGTTTTTTATGACGGGAATAACATATTTTATAAGTTTATTTTTTGTGTGAATGGGTACGGCGTTTGAGGTATTATTGCGGACAGTTGCATAAGTGGATTATTGTGTCCATCTTTGTTCTTACCTATTATATTCAGATTTCGTTTTTGTTTTGTGCATGTTGTTCTGACTACCATACAGTGTAAGGTTATCCTATGTGTTTTCAAGCTTTAGCTGGGTTTGTTTACTAATATGTATTAGGTTCTCACCTGAAGATGGCATCACATTGCAGATCCCGTAACGTCATACAATTGATTTACTTAACACGTGATTGAAAATGTCCTCATTAATTCCTCAAACACTATAGAATAAAACATTATAAATCAATATCATTTTCTATGGCTCTAATTCAGGAAGCAGCTCGATGAGAGCCTGACTTTTGTCCTGAATGTGCGGGTTAAAATACAGCCTATCAGTAAAAGCAAATGTAATTTTCCATGTACAATTGTTGGGACACACTAGTTTTGAGCCTAGTCTTAGTTATAGAGCCAATTATCAAATAACAAAGATGAGTTTTTAAAGTCAGAGAACTGTCTTATATTGGATATCAAGATATCCCTTTACGAAAACTATGCAATGTTTTTTAAATAATCGTTAACCCATAAAGTGCTTTAACGTTTACAAATAAAACCTGGAAATCAAATGATTCAAACAATGAATATTAAAACAACCGAACACTTCAAAAATGATTGTTATTATGAATAAACAACAAAAAAAGTTGTCTAAAACCCACGAAGGGGAAAGAATCCAGGAACTTTTCCATTAATCTTGAAAGAAAGAAGCTTTGCCGTAGTTTTCAATAATTAATTCAACCAATCTGAAAGCATTACCAATGCAAGCCCCTTGGATAAAAGGGAAATACCTTCCTTTTCACTGCAATCGATTCAGGCCTGCTCATCCCTTTTAAGCCGGAATGTTATTGTTATCTTTACAATTCTATTTCAACACAATTTGCCCGGCTCGATTGTAAAAACCGGAATTACAGGGCCGTTCGTTGAGGAATAATTAATTGGAAACAATCACAAAAGGTCAAATTTCGTAATTCGTTATAATATTATACAGGACACTATATCTGTACTATTAATTAGTTTTTGAATGTTTTATGTATTTTACAGTGACTATAATGATGAGAAATTGCAACAAATACACTGACTTAACGTTTGGAAATATTTTGTAACATTATAACATTCCATTATATATTAATTAGTTTAATAGATAAATACGGTATTTTTCTATAATTGGTAAGCTCTGTATTTTTATGTAACCGTTTTCACCATAGCGTGGATATTTATTCTTTCCTGAGGGTTTTAATTTATTCTAAAAAAAAATTTAAAAGAATGCTTTATGATTTTTACGTTTGACATGGCTTGTTATAATGTAGTTGTATGGGTTTGTATGCAAAAATGTAATCATGTAAGTCTTATATACCCTTCACGAGGTACTAAAGGACTGTAAAAACTGAAAATAGAAGAACACTATAAATACACTGTATTTTAACAAACTAATGCCCTCCAAAAAAACATAACAAGTCATGTCTAATGCTTAGTCATGCAATGTTACAAATAATACATTATTTTATAGGGCCCGAATCATGATCAACAGCCGATAGAGAGGTGGCCAACTTTGGATGACTTTGGTAAAACAAAGACCGCTGATATTGAACGCACCCCTACAGCGATCAACCCCCGCCTCACAGACAGGTTGAATAACAATTTTAACTTATACAATAGCTATAACTCTAGGCAGTTAGAAGATTTTATATATTTTGAGTATATGTAAGGTTCAGCTAAAATGTTAATAAATGGTTTTGATTGTCTGCCAATATAAAGTAGTCTACTCATTAGATGAATTCAAAGATGGAAATACGGAAGGCACTAGGAATATAATTTATAGTAACATTATTAGATTTACAATGTTCAATTTGGATGTCAATGCAATTCAAAATCACCTTTACAGTGAACCTGGAGCAGTACACTCCATTTTTAAAATGAAAAAGTCTTTGTATATCATTCATGATCCAAAAAGTTGAATTTTCTCTTTGCTTGTATGTGTATTTGTCATATTGTACATAAATAATTGGAAAATATTTCATCCAAGCTATTTCTAAAGAAACTTAGTTGACTATAAGGCATGATTATAAAATGTAACGTTTCAAATAAAATGTACACGTGGTTTAACATTTTACATAGCCTATTAATGAACTGTGTGTCATACTTATGTCTTACATTGAACAGTATTACTGTAGTAAATGAAGCTTGTAGTAATAGTGTCATAATTTGTACGTATGACATTTATTCACGATAAATTGCGTTTTTATCACTAACTCCTATAAAATCCGAAAAAACCACTGTTATCTTTTTACCTTTTAAGGATGGACAGCACGGACTCCAGGTACCCAGAGTATTCCGCCATGTCCCGCTGGCCAGCGCTGAACGGGGAGCCAGAGACCATGAGGGAGTCCCGTAGAGACAGCCACAGAGAAGGGAACCACCGCGAGAGAAGGCCGAGATCAATGAGGGAGCCGAGTTTCAGGAGACAAGATGGTATAGACAACCCAGCCTACGACACTAGCGACATCTACTACCTACGACTCCAGAGTGACAGAGACTACGACCGTAGAGACTCTAGAAGAGATTCCCGAGAGCACGCGAGGTCCAAGAGGGAGGTTGTGGGAGAATCAACGTCTGGGCAGTACAAAACAACAATCCCTCCTCCTCCAGTCAGCCCTTCGTTTACCCCAGGATATGACGAGGAGAATGGCATAATCATACCTCCCATAGACTACCTAGATCCACCCGAGGAACAACCGGGAAGTCGTCCTCTAACCCTCCAAGAGGCAATCCGAGATAAGACTCTGAGACTGAAGAAAGTCCCGGAGGAGTTGAAGAGAGGTATACAAATGTAAAACTTTGATTCCTAAGCGAAAAAATGTGATAAGTATAAATTGAATGTTCATGGGTTGATATTATTATCAAGTCAAATCCAGCTCGATTACTGTTTTTACATGTAACAGTTTTCAATTTGTTTGAATGGATTTTAAGATGATTGTTAGTTTTATGTATTCTCTTTGGAAATTAAATACATTTATTTTTCTTTGTTGTTTGTTTCGGACCCACTTGAACAGCAAGTATATTTTAAATAAATGTTTTATGAATTACTTGTACAGCATCCTTAATATTCACATTGATATTTTAGGAGAAATAAAAAACCAACTAATGTGTTATGGTAAATAATGTCGAACACTTGTGCGTAAAAAGATGTATACTTCTTTACAAGCCTTAAGAAATATAATGTAACCTATGAACACTCTGTATTTATGTTATAATGAAAAATGAGTAAACAATTCAAACCGACCTTAAAACAGTACAATATACTTTTAGAAATTGCTTTGTTCTACTGATTTAATGAGTATTTTGTTATAAAAAAACTAAATGATCAATTATGGAGATTATTTTAAGATCATTGATGAAAATGTTTCATAATAAATGAACACTGATCAGGGGGAAAGGAAAATCTGATCGAATTCCAACCAAAGTTTGGAACTCAGCTTGCTTCTGATTAAACAGTTCTTCGTCTGATCCAGCTCTATACACATCCCCAATCTCACTTTTAGAAAAATGGGACTAACCAAACCTAAATTTCTTGACCTAACTTTTTTTGGTGAAAAGTTTACTTCCGCTATTAAGTAATTATTAATTGCTTGAAATTAAGAATATTATAGAAAATAACCGTTTTTAGAGAATGTTGATTGTGTTTTGCTTAACATAGTAAATTAAAAATTAGACATTGAGGATGGCAAGAAACTATTATTATACACGAATGAATGTATGCACATGATGTTTCCTGTGTAAAGATACAGCATTAGCTTCTTAACAGTGTCAGATCACGGCACATATTTCAAGTCTGCATTAGAATGACATATTTAGGGTCAGAATAGAAACTTAAAGGCTTGTCAAATGTTGAAAATGTTATGAATTTTCAGATGCCTGAAAAGTAATAATAGTATTAGACCTAATACAATACAAAACTTTCGTTTGAAAATATAATAATGAAAAAGTTGAGTAAAAATGGCACTTTCTATTATACTCAAGCGTTGATGTAGGCTATGCACATGGCGAAAATCTATTTAGTTCCTTCGTATATATTAAAAATCGGGACTGGCTACAGAGCCTTATAGATTGTCTTAAAACTGGACACAGCTATCCCTCCCTCATCATTGGGCTTTAAATAAATTATTTCGATAATGAAACAAATGGTCTTAATCAGTAACAAAGCTACACATACCATCTCACTCTATTCTACACTCATACTTTACTCATAACTGGTTTTAAATATGCACCTAGGTGGTGTCCTCATTTCAGTTGATAGCGATAATAATAAAAAGAACTACAGTTGTTCACAAACCTTTATTAGGAATTTAACTTTATAAGTTGTAATCTATAATCTGCTTAACATTTTCACTTGGCGAAGAAGTTATCAACTTAATTCTCATTAATAATACTTGACTGGTTGATAGGATTAAAACGAATAAGCCTCTTATAACCTAACCAAGTTTATGAAAAGTTATATCAAAACCGTTAAACATTAATACACTGTATTAAGAAGAGTAATGTTAACAGACTGTCAATTTTGAGTTAAATAGTAGCCAAATAATTTGATAAAAGTTCCTGATATTAGTAGTTGTTAAACAGCACACACTGTTTCAAAGGGTAATTTTTAAATGAATTAATATGTGCTAAAAAAAAAAATATTAATTGCATATTTTTAGGAGTATACTACATTACGGAGATGGTAAAAACGACTTTACTTAACCGTAATAAAACATAAACTGCTACAATTGTAAAATACTATAAATCACTATATCTACTACATACATTATTATGTGATGCTGACCCTACTAAAGCTTACTTCAACCTAAAGGACTGTTCACGCCGGCGTAGCCAGACAGATGAATTCGACATGTTAATGGTGAGCTAGGTCCATTTTTAATCACAAAAATCTACTGACTTTCCTTGAATTTGAACCTACGCCCTTTAAATTTCAGGTAAGCATTCAACTATTACCAAAACTACTAGTTTTTACTATGTCTGTTTGGTAGTGCGGTTACAATAGCCTACTGGATCAAATAATTTGACACTGTTCCTCCATTATTTGAACGATTATTGCAACATTTTATTTGATTTACTTGTCTATTTCATGTACGAAGATTGACAATAGTGGAGTGAGTTTGAATATTGTGGTAGATCTCAGGGCTTCAGAGCACGTCATTAAAATCCCGCCAATCACCAATTGATTTTATTTATGTGATAATGCCGCAACCTTTGGAACTATTCTGAAGTCATGTGTAAAACAGTTCCAGGCTAAAACCTAGAGTGTTATGATATGAAGGTGGGACAACAAACAATGTACAACAACACTGTCATTGTAAGTTTTAGAATTACAGCTCTTCTTGAAGCTCCCCAAGTTCATACGTTGAGCTGAAGAGAAGCAATTTATCGATTGATCTTCATGGAAGCAACGAAGAAAACCACAAGGGTCAGAATAAACCAGTTTTCATTAGCAGTTTTCAGTGCAAAAAATAACAAAGATGTAAATTTCATCGATTGTTTATATTTTGTAATCAATAAAAACAGGTAGGCCTACAATTACTACATATATTTACTTTTGCACTGGCGTACCTTACATGTGTTACGTTAAATATTATACATACATAGATGTGTCGATCCTATTTTTTTTACCTTCGTTATATAAGGTAAGCTTCACCCCATTGCACCAACTTCCTTGACACGTCTTATTTGGAATAAATATCTAAGCACTCACTATGCTTGGGTATAAAACAAGAAGAAAAACTTATCCAAACAAAAATGGAAAATAATAATATCTATCTATAAAATACGTAATATAGTAAACGACAACAAATATTTTAGCTTGAAACTCTTAATAACAGTTCTGACAAAAATAAAACAAACAGACAAATCCAACCAAGCATGGTATGTAAATTATCTTGGTCGTTTTCGCCTTCGTAGAATTATTTAATGTTATCTTAGACATTGCGATTAATTCTAAAAAGAAACCATAGCTCATGTAAATGATTCTTTAATAAATAACTACTGGTATTGTTATAGTGTATATAACATTTTGTTATTCAACAGTGAATATTTTGTAGAAGAGTGACACGTCTTCATTAAACTATAAAATTAAGTTATATTTGAATCCAGTTATGAATGTTTATAAACTTTATATAATGTAACGAATTATAATTGAATTATGACGCCCGTGTATTGTATGCATGTTTGGTTACAATCCTTCCTTTTGGTGACTATTCAAATACAGCTTATCGGAGCCTGCTGTAAATATTCGTAATTGAAGTGGTCCCAATCTTGGTCAAGGAAACTTACTTTAATTTTGCCTATAGGTATTGAACTATAGCCATTTCCTTTTAAGGTAACAAGAATGATTGTTTTGATATTTATTAGAAGAAAAACAAGTTTATCCAGAGATATAATTATAAACTTTTAAAAAACCGTGTTACTAGTCTTAGTTTTGTTAAATACGAGATTACTAACCCAGTTTTTCCATGTAAGTCAAATTATTAATGTATTTAAAGAGAAAAATCCGACAAAATTCAGAGTAAAACATGGAAAATAAAAAAGTTTGTAAGAAAACTGTCTTGATAAATATAACTCGCCTTTCGTGAAATAATTTACCTACCAGTTTACTTTGATTTAAAATTCTAAGAGATTGCTTACTTTGTGTTATTAGTTTATTAACATAATTGTGTAATATTTGTACTTCTGCTAAATAATATTAGTCCATGCTTGTACTTTTAGCACAAACATTGGAAGAGTTTCAAACATATCCTTGAATATACTAGTAAGCTTAAATTTGATTTTTAATTATTTAAATGAGTTAAATGTTTCCTAATTGTTTAGTGAAGAGATGATACTAAATGCTTTAAGCATAAAAATTATCAAACATATTTGATGATGATTATTTTCATTATGAAATTGACATTTTAAGTACATTTCAGTACATTTCTAGAGCCATGAGATTAAATTCTTATTTTTTGTTTTGTATTAACTTTGGGTGATATTACCTAGTTTAAGGGTAGGCCTATATTAAATTTATATCCATCCGCTTGAGGATATTCAGTGTTTGAAAGTTCAGGAACAAACACCATTATACAGAGAGCTTCAACTTTTCCTTTCCAGCTTTGGGTTTTAGGTGCTCTAGTGTTATAAGTAGAGAGTAATAGAATTTAATCATTATATATTAGTTTTATTAGGAGTACAGTATATTAAAATCATTCCTAATAGACATTTCCTAATTATCAGTCATCAGTTGTTAACACGAAATAAATATTCAATAGGTGGGGGAGTTGATACAATTAGTAAAATTAACGATTCTTTTGCTACAATGATTCAAACGGAAAAATACATTTATAAACAATTTCAAACATTTATAGAAAAAAGCTTAAGTTTGAGTTTAGTTGAAGCAAATTATTTTAGTAATCTTTTCTAGATCATAAACATGAACCAACTTTAGTGAACTGTTTTGGGGGGGAAACTTTGCTTCGTAGCGGTTTTAAGTTTTTTTTATGTAGTAACAGTTTTTTTTTCTTGAATTGTTTAACCTAGTTTGAGGTTAATCACGAACACGAATCATAACATGATTCGTGTTTGCTAATTTAACTACTATATTGTAATTCACTATGAAACAAAATCACGGCGGCAAAACGTAACCCTCAAATAAAATCGTTGACAGGTAAGAATAAAAGTGTCATTTCGTGTTTAATAGTTATGCTAATTTAACTACTATATTGTAATTCACTATGAAACAAAATCACGGCAGCAAAACATAACCCTCAAATAAAATCGTTGACAGGGAAGAATAAAAGTGTCATTAAGACGTTCCGGTGTTTAAATGAGGCATGATGTAATTAAACATACCTATAAATTACGTCTTTTCAAACCATAGCTATCATTACACACATATTTGCCAATCAAGTATTTCATAGTAATGATCGAGATACGCTTTCAGCGAGTGATCAAGCCCTTTGAAGTGTCGCCTTACTTGAACAGTCAAAGTAATAT